GTGATAACACTCCTAGTCTTGATAACTCAAACCATAAAGCTCTTCTTAAACCGACATGCGGAGATGCATAGACGATAGTCATGAACCAAGTTTCTCGCCGACTATTTTCCAATTGCAAGTGAATGAATTGTCTGTGCTGTTCTATGACCTCCACTCATCGAACCCCGACCCCCCAGAGACACCATATGCCGTTGCTAAAGCCAACCATATCTATGAATGTGTAGTCCTGGAAACCCAGTCTTCCTATCTGTTTTTCTGTTTTTGCCTTATCCAATCTGGTTTCAAGCAATGCTAGAAAGTCTAATTGGTAAAATTTTCATAGCTCTTGTACCAGGCTGGGAAATGCCTTTAACCGGTACCTCGTGAATTCCATACCATGTAATTCATGAGGAAACAGATGCGGGAGGTGATGTGTTTTTACTATCCCCCATCTGGACATCAACCTTAAAGTTACTCGCATGTTGCTCTCGGTTTAGCTTTGGATTCGATATCTCCACTTCCTTGTCCATATCTTGGCTATTACCTTCCTTAACACCTCTCGTATCGTTCATTAGATGCATATATGGATCCTGTGAGTTACTAACATCCATATTGTCTAGCTTTGGCCCACTTTCTTTAGCTTGGGGTCCTCAACGTGTTTGTCTTCATTTGACAGGCTTGCCTGAAGAACCTCAAATGAGTTTTGGGCCTTCATCGGCCCAACTCTCTTAAAGCTAAGCTCCTTCTTCTTGTATTTTAATTTGGCAGCATTCATATTTTCCTTCCCTTTTCAAATGGGCTTCTCGTCTTGCTTCCTCTTGGTCCCCACATTGACCCAACCAGACTCATTATTATTAATCTCGGCCCCAAACTTTCTAATTCCAACTCCATGATCCTTCGTAATATTTTCAGCCTTATCCTTCCCAGATACCCTTGAATCAATACCAAATCTCGAGCCATCACCTTTTATGATCCCATGCGGATTTTTAGTCGCCTCTTTATGTCCATATCCTTTCATATCTGTTCGCATAACTCCCCTGCAGAAATCTCTCTTCACCAACATTTGACGACCGAGATGTTTGACGGATACTGACGTTCCTTCTCTGACCATCATCGATTGCCCACGGTCTCCATTTTCTTTATTTGGAGGATGGGTAGGTTGTTTGTTACCGTTTCCCTCACGACTTGTCACAGTAATATGCCTTCGGTGATTAGCCTCCTCAATATTTTGCACCGGTTGCAACTTGATGCATGCATGTTTGTCGTGACCGTATAGACCACATTCAAAGCACACTTGGTGCAGCCCTTTGTACTCGATCTATTTATCCTCTCCAAAAGCCGTGAAAGCTGGTAGCAAGGGTTGTTGGAGGTCAATTTCTACACAGATACGGGCAAAACCTCCTTTATCATAAATAGATGTTGATCTGTCCACTTTGAGAGTCTTACCAACCATATTACCAATCATCCAAAGTGATTCCACATTGTAGAATTCCATAGGCAAATTCGGTATGCGAATCCATGCTGTAATTCTTCTTTGCTGGTTACCAATAGGTAGTGATCATCTGTCATCTAGGGTCCCTCCTGAAACACATAGTCTCTATCCTCTCGACTTGCAAATGAGACAATAAAGTAACCATTACTGAGAGGTATCACTTTCATAGCCTCCTTCGGTTTCCACATCCTTTTAATTCGATCTATCAAGATATTCTTAGGCACTTGGGTTCCTAAGACTTTGACAATGAGCGAGTTCATCCATGGTTGACACCAAGCCATGTATTGCTCTACCGAAACGGATAGTACTGGATACCTACTTTTACCACTACCATCATCGCACTCGTTCTTATTCTCATCCTCCTTATCCTGTGTCACCGTAGTGTCTTCATTCTTCTTGGTGAAAAAAGATTTCCATCCGTTCACGATATCTTCCTATTCATCATGTTTTACAAGAAAACCGGTACAGCCTGGGGAAAGTAACTTCTCCTTATAAGACCATTGCCCTCACCGTCCTCCTCCTAATGTTGCTGTCTCCTTACCACCATCTTCAGCCGTTGCCGACCTCTTCCCGTCTCCCTCGGACTCCCCTGAATCAGACTTACCAAAGACAAAGATTGCAGGGCTCGAGAGATGAGCCCCTTCTTTATCACGTTCACAACCTCCCCCTTGATCTCTATCGCCACTCTCTTCCGTCGCTTGTTGTCCACTCTTTGTGCTCTCCGTTCTCTCTAATTTTTAAAATACTCTTTGATTGGCTTTCTTTACTATATTTTCAATTTGATAGAACATATCATTTTGAGTAAGTATGTGAATTGGTTCTATTGAATATTTATAAAGTTGTAAGATTATGACAACAATTAGCAATGTAAAAAATGGCAAGTCCTCGTTAAAAATTCACATGCATGAATATTTCTTAGAATATCAATTACCTAATCTAGTGGTTATAATGGTATTAAAAATTTAACTTAGATAAATTTTAGCTGATATTCTCTCTTTGCATTACTATAAAATTTTAAGTTTCTTTTTATTTAAAATATTAGTCTTTATAATTTAATAAAAATCTGAACCATTTTGCTTCCTAAGAGATTAAAACCTATGGTTTAAAATTTAAGAAACTAAAGTCAAAATGAAAATAAATTTAAAGGACCAAAAATTATATTAACTTTTTAGAAATCTATATTTTTCACAATGCTCTTTTATTCCTGTTTCCTCCTTCATTTCTATAGAGTTTCGTCCTGCTCAACCAATATACTTAAGAAAGAAATCTATTTCCATGACATTAACCAAGATATTGCGATGATTTTTTTTTTTTTCAAATGTAGAGATAGAGATAATCCAAACCCATTTGAAGAGATATGCTTATATATGTAAAATGCCTTGATAATTTTGAGAGATTTTAAGAAAGTTTAACCTTTAAAAAATTATTATGCCTTAATTGTTATGTAGATGTATGTTTAATGAATTTTTTGTACATTTTAAAAGTAAGTAACTTTAAAAATTTCGCTTACATTTTTCTTCCAATTATTTTGTTAGTTAATAACAAACTGACTCGTCACTTGCAAACACTTTGCATATACTAAAATGCCATTCTTTATTTTAAAAATTGTTTAAACATGTACATTTCACCTAAAAAATTATACCTTCAAAAAGCAATGCTGATACATATCTGTGCACAAAATTTTTTACATTTACTTTTCCATTATTGATCATTAAAAGATAATTGAAATTTTTTAAATATGAAATATGGAAAATAAAATAATCTCAAATCTCAAACATCTGAAACAAATTCTTAGAAAATTTAAAACTTCAATTTTTTTTGGGCCAAGGGGAAACTTCAATATTTTTTAAAGAAACAACTCATAAAAATGGCCTCATCGCCGTCTAAAGTCAAAATTTTTAATACTTCTTTGTCTTTCACATACAAGATTGATACAAACAATTGACTACCCATTTTACATAATTGACTATATATATACATACAGCCCACTCATTAAACTCTACCCTTCATATTTAAGAGTATAAATAACTATTTTTGAACAAATCATTTGGCATATTTTTCAAACACCGGTGTGAATAGTCTGTGTTCACCATCCCTCATCAACCCCATTTATCCAGAGTCCCTCAAGCAGACAACCCCCTCTACTTCCATGTCATCTCCACAAAAATGTCAAAGTGGTCCAAATATGAATCTCCCATATTTGTTTTTTGTGTCCCTGTCGTCTTCCCAGGAGTAAGAAATAAACCATTAAAATATAGAAGAAAGAAATGAGGTATTACGGATAGCACAACTTATTTGTCATATTTCATTCAATACACAGGGAAATGCACGAGTTTTAAAACGGTGGGCATTAAATCTTAATTACTACTAAACTAATGCACAAAATAGCCTACCTGTCCATGTGTGCGTGAAAGCATGGGGACCACAAAATAGCCTAAACTCATGATGCCAAACAGAAAGTGCACAATCTCACCAACCTGTTGACGATGCAATACCAGATAGACTGAGAAAGGAAAGGAAGGAACCAGAAATAACAAGAACAATGATAATTTGCTTTAACCTTGTTCGGACACATTAAAAGAAGTTCCATACAAACTCCTATCAGAATCTGTAGTTTACCTTTGGGACAGACAGAAGGAGCGTGAACAGAAAAACTTGTAGCTCTGGTAGGCCCAACACCCTGCACCACGAAAAGTAATAGCTATAAGAGTTAAAAAAATAAAAAAAAAAAAGATTAAGGCAAATTATTGAAAAAGCCACGAAAGCAAACCATCAATGTTGCTCTAGGTCCTTTATATAGGCCAAGAAAACCCTCCTCTCTACAAAAGTACAAATGGTACTAAAAGCATGTGAGATGCCCTTGTAGACTGTAGTGCATGGCACTTCTCCGCAGAAAAATCTTTAAAAAATGAGACAGAAGAATCAAGATGCAGGGGAGCAAATTAAATCAACTATACTCACCAAGAGATCATAGAAAGTCATTGCTGAAAGAAGCACCATGATCACAAAACTGATAGTATCCTTTCATGGGTTCCCTATATTACCAATGCTGATCTGAATAACAATTTACTTGAGGAGAGAATAATAATTGGCTCAAAGATGATAAGTACCTTCAGTAGTTTATATAGAATGTGAATTTGCATTGATATAAACGGACTACTCAATTTCAATTGACCGCTTGCCATTACTAGTATCATGACTTGTCATTGGCAAACGACTGACTTGTCAATTGGTGCATATCAAGCTGTCAAAGCATGCCTTTTTACCTGTCCACACATTTGACTAAAAAAAAAAAAAATCTAACATAAATCTATCATATAATCTCATATCAGTTTACATATTCTGGCCATACATGATTTCAAGTTAACTACAGTTGCATAACACATTTTGGTTATAGTTTCATATAACGTGGATCTAATATTTTCACATAAATAGAGCTGTCATTTGTGGCGCTTTGACTTGTTGGTTGTTGCACAATAAGTTATCAATGCATGCCCATTCACTTGTCAATTGCTAATACTAAAAAAGCTAATATAATACGGTTTCATAAATTCATTTCAGAACACATGAATACCACCAAAAAAAACAAAAAATATTTCATTTACCACTGAGTCATGTTAATACACATGAACTATAAAGTGATGATTATACAATGATGTCATTAAAATGATTATCAGTTAAGTTTCAAAATACAAAATAAATATATGGTTGAGGTCTATTTCTTCCTCTTGCTTCACCAATTACCACGTAGTAAAGGCAACACTTGATCACCAGGTAAGTACTTCCTTTACTTCCGATTCACTCTCTTCTTCCTCTTCTTCTGACTTTTCTGACCCAACTTGATCATTTTCTTCCTCTTCTTCTGACTTTTCTGATCCAACTCGATCATTTTCTTCCTCTTCCTCTGACTTCTCCCACACAGATTGCTCAATTTCTGCATTTTTTCCCCTTCCTCTGACCTTTTTAACCCAGCCTGATCTTCCTGATCTTCCTCTTTCTCTGAGTTTTCTGATCCAACATTTTCTTCCTCTTCTTCATTCTTACTCCCATGCAACAACCTAGACTGAAGGGAAAGCAGTTCCTCTCCCACCATGGACACAAACCTATCATAAGTTCTCTTTATTTCCTGAAAAATAATAACAATTAAATTAATCATGTGTCAACTTGTATAAAACACCAAGCTAAGCTCAACATTATCCTACCTACCGGGTGAGTTAAGATTGTTTTTGGATTAAAGTCGCTAGATGAAGGCCCAACTACGTTACTCACACCACGTAGCATCCCTTGATTGCGATCCTCCTCCAGTTTCACGAGTCTTCAGCTTGCCCTCAATAAACCATGATGCTATTGTCTGCTAGGGGGTTTGCCAAGTGAAATCAGTAGACACCCACGTTACTTTGTTGTAAGGAAAAAGTGGTCACAAGCTCATTTAGACCTGCTGCCTATAAAAAAAAAAAAAGAACAAAGAAAAAAACTCATTTAGACCTGCAGACCATTTTCAACTGAACTCGAAGTGGTCGCAAGCACGATCAATAAGTCTTCCATATCTACAAAAATAAATTGTTTGGCATAATCAAAGCTCTTGCGCGCACACTATTCGGCCATCTCCCTTCCATTTAGTTCTTGTTCTTTAAATAGAGTTCTTTTACATTTCTCTGTATTAGTTCTCCCTTCTATAGATTTTTGCAGAAGACTTCGTTCGAAGGGAAATAAATGCATATATATATATATATATATATATGGGAACTACAGTAGCAGGCAAGGACGGAAGAGAAAGTGACTACCTGTTTCGCCTTTAGCAGAGCGTCGCCAATGTCAGCCAGAGATTACTGCGGTGTCGAGTTCTCCTTCTCCCACAAGGACGGCGAGGGTTACTTGCTTCACGGGACTTTGCTTCCACGGCTACGGTTATTGCCTTTGCTGTTGCCGGACATTGAGGTTAGGGTTCGAGAGTGCTGAATAAGCTTTTAGACAGGGGGACAATTTGAGGGCCGTTTGGACTGGCGCCGAAAAAGTCGCTTGTTTTTCTAAGGAAGAATTTCAGAAGACTCTCTTAATAGCCAATTGAGATAATACTATCTCCGCTCCTAATTATAATAACTAATTAATTAATTTAAAGAGATTAAAAAATAAGTTAAATTAGTTATTTATAATAAATAGATATTGTATTTCTTAAAATATCTTTGCTAATCAAATTTATTGGTTAGAACTATCATTATTAGAGGGATTATCTTAAGAAAGAATACATAAATATGAGAAACAAAGTGAATTGAGGTCTTATAATTAAGATCAAAGTAAAAATCAAATAAGGTCTTACATTAAAAACCGGAGGTAGTATCAGTTAGTGCTAAAAAAATTCTAAAATTTTACTGTGCTCTTTGACCAAAATTTTTTTTATGTGAAAAGACCAAAATATTTTTGAATTGCAAATCACTGAATTTATATTGTAAATAATTTAATTCTTGTTGTAAATATCTGAATTTGAATTGTAAATCCTTGTAAATTTCATGGATGAATAAATGAATAACTCAAATTCGATAATTTACAATAAGAATCTGAATACTTGTAATAAGAAATCTGCAATTTGCAATTCAAATAAAAAAATGTTTTTGTCTTCTCACACACAAATTTTTGGTCAAAAAGTGCAATGAAGTTCCAGAATTTTTTGGGTTGACTGGTCTTAATTAATTAGTTATTGAAGGATTTATTGAAATTTTCCCTATTTTCACTTGGGCTTTTGGAAACCTAAGGCTAGGTGAAAGTTAGATTAAATAATTAGATTTATGTTTAAATTTTTTTTTTTGGCCAAGATTTATGTTTAAATTAGCTTTTGTAAATTAACAAATTTGTAAAACTAGAAATTGTTTGAATTATGTCACACACAAAAAAATTATTTGAATTATTATCGAACAAGCAAGTTTAATTGTAAAATAACTGAAAAAGATATGAATTTTATTAAATGATCCCATTTCAAATCTTTGAGATAAGGGCCAGTTGTAGATTTAATTTGGTTCTAAATATAAGATCCAATCCTTGTCTCTCATATTTATTCATTTTATCCCTAAGTAAGCCTTTTGGTAATTGCACATGTTAAGGGATTCCCATTCATAAATTGTTTAATACACATGATTAATAAATATATTTTGAGGAAGACAACACTCATTTATTACAAATAATCAACTTGATTAATTTTTTAATATCTATAAATTATTAGTAGTTATCTAGCTTTTATATTAAAAACCAAAAATAGTATATGTGTCTTTAACAAATGTTTTCTCTCAGCACAGTTGAAAAGTTATAAGCAGCAAATTTTTGCTCATGACTTACCGTGATTTTTTATGTAAAAACACAACTACCCCATCGCCAAATACAAACGATCAAATATCATACATCGCATGATTTGTTATTTTCACCGCACCATTAGTTATCAGACAGGCATCGGGCAAATAGGTTCAGTGTATTACCAAGGGTAAGAGCATCTTTTCATAATTGTGATCTTTGTCTATTACCAAGGAGATATTTAGATTAACTTTTTAAAAGTGGTTTTATAGTACGCGAAATAAACATGCGAGAACTTTTTTTAAGTGATTGTTCTTTTCACAATTATCTTTCACTCTGAGTCCCTTGAACTTGACATTAATTTGAAGATTGAAACTTTGCAGCAACAATTTCTCTTGATTCGCATTCACCCAAAAAAAAAAAAAAATCTCTTAATTGAAATCGAGTTAAATTTCCTAATAATTAATATAATTAATTTTCTTAACCTGTGTGGATTAATCATTTAGATCATATATTTACATTACGAGGGAGTAGCATTTACAAAGAACTATCCGAAATGGATCCATATGAACAGACACAAGACGCAATCCAAGTTAACTTGTTTTGGAACTTTGCTTGCATTTATCTGTACTCGAATTTAGATGCACTAAATTATTAGGGAATAGGGAACAAACTTGCATTTATCTTCACTTGAAACTCCAATGGTGTAAATAAGTACAAGATTATGGAACAGTAATGGTGTGCCAGGAAGAATCAAGCTTCAGGGGAAGTAATAATGTCTCCTCACGTGATAATGCACACCTGTTTTTGAGTAACCATTAAGCATATGCTATATATATACATTCCTCTGGTCTTATTTATAAAATATAGAGATAATATTTTTTTTGTTCTATTTATAACTATAAGTTACATTAATAAATTTTTAATATAAATGTACTATTTTACCTTTTATTTATTATTATATAGATTGTTATTTTTTCAAAAAGTATACATATTAAATAGGGATAAAGTTGAAAATTTATTAAGTTTTAAAGTAAAGTTGACGAGGTTTAAGGCTTTCTTAGTTTAATGAGATATGCTAGAATCAAAGTAGTATGGATACACACACATCTGCTCACAGTGGTACTCAGCTTAAAGCATGAGATTTTGAAAAGGGCTTCTAGTTATACATGACAATGCCAAAACTGGGGGGAAGTATTAATTGTGCCAGTAAAGCAGTTATTTTCTTTTAATTAATGACATGATCCACACAAGAAGGGGTTCGATATTTTTTTCAACTTGTAATCAAAGTGATTAAGTACTAATTGTATCATGGGGTTATGGAAGAGCTTCTGGCAACAGAAGGCAGACTTTTCTGTACTGAGAGTAACAATTTGTGAATAGGTACGCAACTATGATTCTCTGTGTGTTTCTTTGATGGCATTTTTGGTGATTTGTTTGGTGATGAAATGGGAAAGAACACCAATAGGGCAGAAGAAGAGGCAAAGAGAAACTGAATGGCGAGTCTCAATTTGATTCTGCAGTCCATCATGAAAAACCTGCCTGCATTCACTTGTAATAATGTAATAATGTAAGGATGAGCATGAAGAAAGAAAGAATCATCAGAGGGGGAAAAAGGGAAATAGCAAGAAAGGAAAGGACCTGGCTGCAAAAAGGTCTATAACCAGTAAGTGAATCCAAGCAGAGGCTAAAGTCATCTCACTGGAGAACATTTTTGTTATACTGCTCAGCTGTTGAGAAAAAACGGAACACTATTTGTTTTGAGATATAAGGACTCTGAAGAACTAGTTAAAAAGAAAAAGGAAAAACTGAAATTGATTGATGAAGACTGACCTCCGGTAAGAAGTATTTGCTTGCAAAAAGGAGTTGAATCGTTTCAGGAGTCCAAGAAAGGCACAGCAAATATGCATACACAAGGCCAAGCAACACAAACGGTATTCCACTTTCCATTGACTTTTTGGTCTGCACTTATGAATCACATGCAGCAACTAAACATCCATACCCTTAATATATATCTATATCTTCATATAATATGATAGAATTGCTTTGGCTAGCTAGACCTATAAAATGAAAATTAGCAAGATACATCAAATAGGAAAATCACTTTCTGCTCTGCAAGTTTCCTTCTGTCTCAGAGAAAGATAACGAGCATTGGAGTACCTTAGGCTTTAGGCTTGATGTGAGTCTGACCTAAAAAGGAATGTATTGAAGACTGTGTGAATAGCCAAAGGCTTTCTAGCCTAGTAAGGTTGACACTCTCCTGTTAATAGGAGGTCGGGGACTTGATCCCACTTGTAACTTCTAGCTGTGAGTACTTGCCCCTTTGATTTCAAAAAAAAAAAATTGTGTGAATCACTTTTTGGGGCTTATATTAGCTACTGGTGTATCCTGGGAAGGAGAGAGACTTATTTTGCAAGCTGGGGGTGGAGGAAGATCATCTTTCTTCATCATTTTTAGTTTCAGTTTGAGTGTGTTTTCTTGTGTTCCTATGGTTCTAACTTCATTTCTTGGGAGGAAGAGTAAGCCAGAGACAGTGTTGTTTCTTTTCTGTCTCTGTTTGGACTCTACCATAATATAAAAAAGTGAAATAAATCGCACTATCCATGAATTGTAAAAGCACGAGAGCCACACCAGTTATTTCAATGAAGCCTCCATGTGATCTTTTATCTTCCACTTATCAATAAGCTAGCTAGCTAAAGTCACTATCTTTCTCTTATAGCTTAATCTGAAATACGGTAAGAAACATACTATCTCTGATTTGGGAGCTAAGAGCATGAGTGTGTAATATGGAAGAACTGCTGTTGTTCCCATTGTAAACACATTGCTGGCAAGTTCAGAGCTTGACAACCCTGCAACATTTCAACATTAGTTATAAACTTGTACTTTCATTTTTTCTCAAACTAATTTATCTAATTTATAAACTGATATATAATCTAACTTTACACAGAGGTATTTTAGGAAGATCATGTCGTGTTTGTTATCTAACTTCCTAATCTACCTAGATTAATTAAGTAGCTCTTATATCAAGAATGAAAGATAATATATCAGAAGTAGATGATAAGTATGAAAAGAGATTACATGAAGCATAAACTCCGCTATGTTTTTGACAAAGTTTAGATGTCACAACTTTTGGCTTCAAAATGACTTTGGATCCTCCTCTGAAACTCCAGTCTCCTCCCAACTTGACCCTTCTTCTACAGAACTCAGCACCACTTCTTACAGCACCAAAATGACCAATCTACAAGAAACAGAACCTTACTTGTATGTAAAATAATTATGTATTTGTAGAAAGAGTCACATACAGAATTATCATATGACTCAAATCCTTTTTACAAGATTGATATTGTTCATAGTTTTTTTAACTCTAGTTACATCAGATACTTTATGGCATACTGGAAAAGAACACTGTTATTACAATGAATCAAATTTAAAAGCAGAGCTGATTCAAATAAACCAGAGAGATTCATCCAAAACCATTCCTAAAGAAAAAGAAAGAACCCAAATCCAAAAGACCTCAGGGAATTGAAAACAGAACATTCAAAACATAGTCTTGGCATGAGGGAAACTGTACCTTTGATGTTAATGGAGAATAGCACAAGGAAGAAGAAGAAGAAAGGGCCATAACTGAAGGAAAAACTAATAACAGACTTCACCACAAGTTCATAGTTTTAAGGTCGAAAAATGAAAGTGTTTTTGTTGTGTTTTAAAAGTTCATATATTTTGTTGTGTATAGGCACTTACATAAATGGTGGGAGTTGAGTGGACGGAAGAGAAAACAGAGCACCGAAAGCAAAGTTAACCAAGTTTAGCAAAGCAAGCTTTATGCCCCACTTGCATACCCCACCTTTTCTTTTGTCTCTTTTGAATTTCACTATATTTGATTGGAGTGAATGCTAACAATGGAAAATAACATAATCATGAAAAAAATAGCGTTTTTTTCCCATCCCAACCACAAGTTTTTATATTTTTAGACCTGATTCAATTAATATAAGTAAACATCTTTTCTAATTTAGTCATACTGTTTGGCCCCGTTTTGTTCATGAATCATTATAATGGAAGGCATGTGATAGGAATGGGAGTGTGGATTCCACCACCTATTAGCATGTTTGGCTTTCTGTAATAAAAAAAAAAAGTATGTTTGGTTTTCAATTTTCTACATTAAAAAAGTTCAGGAATGTGGGTTCCATCAAACTTTTGATGGTTTCAGGCCCAAAAATAAACTTTTGACGGAAAGGAGCAGTCTTTGGAACGGGATGGAAATTTACATTGAGACCTTAACATATTGCACTCCTTCTATTCTTAATATAAAACTTAATTAACTAATTTCAGTAGATTAAAAATATTAGTTAAATTAGTTAATGTGATATTTTTTTTAAACACTCTAATCACCTTCCTTAATTTCTTTCCTCTCTTTCTTACTTGATTATTATTCAGGAAATATCATTAGGATTAATTTTAAAAAAAATTAATAAACATGTGAAATAAATCTTACATATAGGACCAACATTAGCTCTCAAATTAAGTCTTACATTAAAAACCAGAGGGGTATTATTTAATTTATTTTGGTTTTAAAATTACAATTAAAAATATTGTTTTTAAACTTGATAAAACATTAAAAACATTTTCCCCTCAAGAGTTTGCATTACAGCGTTTTTTTTACTAAATTAAGTAACATTTTAAAAATAAATAAAAAAAACAAGTGATAAATATTTAACATATTTTTATACCATAGGTATTATAGTCCTTTGCTTGTCTCTCCTCCTCATTTTTATGTTGTTCCATCCAAGCCAGTATACAACAGCAAAATACAATATTCATGTTTTATATAACAAATATTTTATTCCATGCAAACACATTCTCATTGTTCCTTTTATTGAAAGCAGAATAGTATTATATGCTCCATCGGAAACAATAATAGGACCAAAATATTGCATCATTACATAATTAATAGTTATATCAATAGATTGATATTAGAGGATAATAATTTAAAACCCCATTTTCATCTACTTTATGGTTAATCGTATAAAATCTGAATTAATGTCTTTACAAATTCAGTGGGTAATCTGATGTTAACAACATTTGCTCTCAACACACTGAATAAACCAAGAGAAAATTATTTGGGATCTCTCCATGCATAAAATTCATTATCCATGTCAATCAAACAATATCCGGCTAACCAAAAAAAAAAAAAAGTTTATGCATATCCAACGTCCTCTTCTGATCCTATTTATAAAGCAAAGAAAGAAAGTTTTTTTTTTTATTCTATTTATAAGTCACTTTATTAAATTTTTACCATGAATGTACTATATTTTCATTCATTTATTATAGTAGAGATAGTTTTTTTTTTAAAAACGTATATATTAAAGAGGGATAAAGTTGAAAAATTTTTATATTTTAATAGAGAGTTACTACAGTTTAACATTTTTCTTAGTCTGTATGAAACATGTTAGAAGTGTCTGATAAATATGTTGGAAGTGTCTGATAAATAAGACTAGAAGAGTACATTCAAAGGAAAGGGTTAAGGAAATTTTCATAAGAACTGTCAGATAGGCTTTTATTGTTTCTCCCACCATAAGTATACAATAAAAGGCATTATTCATATGTACTATAACTCCACTTCAAATCCTATGTAACGCACAACCCATAATCTTTTTTTTTTTTTCCCACGTAAAGATACAAACGTAAGACCACTATCCCATCAAATACGATCTAATAACCGTCATAAAACAAGCTGTAATAATTGGCATTATACTTCATCTCACACCATGCCAACCTCTTGTTCTTTAATTTTCCTCTCTCTTTTCCCTCTCTTTTTGATCACATCCGAGTTTTTCATATATACAGATTTCCAAGGACCTGAGAAAATTATAATGCTCCCATTCCAAATGGGTAATTATTTACCATTGCATCAAGAGATACAAAGAGAAATGGATGAAGATGAAGATTTTATGAGCAGTGCTGGTCAAGCCAAGAAACGATGTCATTGAAAACTTGAATTATGATATCATCAGGCTCACCCTCAAGAAGAGAATGGTAAGCATCCTTGTAAAGTTTGAGTGTCTTGTCTGAACTGCTCGCTTTCTCATACAACGCTTTGCTCACAGAAGGATCGGTCACAATATCAGCTTCCCCATGAAGAATTAACAATGGCAAAGAAACCTGCAAAGCAATTACACCTTTGATATGTGAATATCAATAAATTTACAACACTATATTAGCAAGGCTGTGCTTCAATCTCAGTTTTCAAACAACATTCATTACTAGAACTTACTGGAATATGGATTAAAAGCCCTAAGCAAGTTAACATTTTTACAGGTGCCAATCTGGTGGCAAGGTATGGAAATTACAGTAAGTACAATGATCTATTGTACATCACAGAAGCAAGTTATAGTTGAGTGTGGCGAAGGGTTCAACTAAATTGCAGCATTCTAAGAAGCATGCAGATATGTTCACCGCATTGTTTCATAAGATTTGGTCAATTTAAGCACACGATAATTTAAACGAGGTTGCGGCTTCTTCAATCTAATACCCAATAAGGACCAGCATTACGTGGGATGAAAATGCACATGTAAAGGATCGCCTAAAATCTCGCAGTTAATTTTAACTAGAGTTTAACGTTTTCATTTTAGTCCAAAGTTCAAAAGAGTGTTTTGTTATATACTCCTCTGGTCCTTAATTTAACACATAATTAACTAATTTGAGTAGATTAAAGATGTTAATTAAATAAGTTAACATGATATGCTTTTTCTAAAATAACCTAAGCATCTTCCTTAATTCCCTCCGTCCCTCTCCTACTTTATTATTGTTAGGGGAATTTCAATAGGGTTAGTTTGTAGAAAAAATTGATAAACATGTAAAATAGGTTTTACATATAAGACCAACATCAATTCTCCAATCTGGTCCTATATTAAGGACCGAAGAAGTATCATGTAATTAGGCCTTCACTAGGCAAAAATAATTTTTGGCACACAACAATTGTGAAAGGGAGATTCGAGTCGTATCATATACTACTTTTTCGAACTTCTTTTCTCTCTTGAAACTTCTTATCCGATCTAAATGGAGCGGGGAAATAGACCAATGAACTTGATACATAAGAGAGATCAAGAAATACCTGTTATCAAAATCTAATAGGAAAGAATCGGGTAGAATAGACAGAACAAGACAGAAAAGAGAGCGCGCATGTGACGGCAGATCCACAACAAACATGGTTTCTTTCTACAATAAGCATTTTTAACACACTAGCTATTTATTCTTTGATTAAATAAAAAACTTGGCCCCCTCTAATATCCTCAAGTCCTTAGATTTGTTCCTCTGTGCAGTTTAATCCTTTAGATTTTGTAACTCACCGCACCTTCATTCTTACATTGGTCCAAATTGTATATTCACTCTACAACAATAAACTAACTCAATATGCATGAGTAACAAGTTAGGAAGTTTGAGGGACTAATTGGTATATAGGAATATAAATCCTACCACTGAAGCTTATGCTGGTAAATTTTTCAGGGACAACACATTGTATATTTACTCCTGCTTTTCTACCAGTAACAACTTTCCTATATCAGATATTGCCGCTCCAATTCACGAAAAAGCAGCAGACCTTTGGTGTCTCATTTTCATGCCAGGCATGAAACGTCTCCCAAGATGGTTTCACAGTCAAGAAAAGTTTGTGCATATAGTGGCAGTTTACTGGGATATTAAATAACTAAAGAAGACAAGTTGCAAGTTCAGCATACATACTTCTTCCAAGTGCTGTTCTATTTCTTGAGTAGTTTTAAGCATCTCTGCTGCAGTCTGCAAGCGTGGTTTATCTTTGTAGGCAACAACATTATACGCTGTCTGCAGAAAGATATTAGGAAATTTTCAGAAGCATAAGGTATATGCTAGTTGTTTGCATAAAATTGAAGGATAGAAATGCAGTTGAAAGCCGGGGCAAAAGGATAGAAACCACCAATGAGCTTTGGCTCACTGGTATTGGAGTTATCTCCAAGGATGAAGGATCCAAATTTAGATCTAGTTGAAGCCAAATTAACAAACAAAAGAAGGATAGATTCAACAAAGTTCAGGCACCTTAAAATTAGTGCATTAAAAGATGACTTGATAAGACTAATCAAGGTCTTAAAATTTAGTTAATTTAGGAGATTGTTCAAGTTCAAAGTACAAACCAGTTCTCTCTTCTTCACATCTCTAAATGCTGCCTCAGCTAGATCCTTTTGTGGAACTAACTTACTCTTTGGAAGGATATAAGACATGCCAATCAAAATCTGAGTGAGCAACCATGGTGGAACCATATCATCTGCAATCTATAGAGAGCTTCTGGTCAAAAAGAGATTAAAGCAAAAGGGGATATTCCATTTTATCTCCTTGAACTAGAGCCTAAATAGAAAAATGGTACATGAACTTCAATCTTCAACAAAACACCTACCCGAGACTACAATGAAAATGTTAAAACTTCAGCTATAATTAACTGCAAGAGGCCACATAGCCTCCAATGCCAGCATGCTTATCCCAATCCAATGCTGGTCTTTAAATAATTTAAGTGAGGAGGCAGCCTCTAGCAGTTAACCTCAACTTATGATTAATGTTTTCATTTTAGTTTAAAGTTCATGGAGATGTTTTTCTACATTAAGTTTATGCACCAGTTATCCCATTTGGCCTTAGTTCGAAAGGATAAATGTACTTCCCCCAAACAAAAGATCCCACCAGAACTCCTTAGCTAGCTGAGTTTCTTGGAAAATTTACTTTGCACATAGGTGCAACAAGAATGGCACCGTCCCATGCCATAGGCTGTTTCAGGTGTATCTTTAGAGCAACGGCTCCACCCATAGACTGTCCAAAAAGGAAGCTTCGAAGAGAACGGAACTCTGGGTTTTCTGTCATCAAGCAAGCGAACAGTTTTCCAACAGTACAAAAACATTCGCACTCCAATCACTTTAAGTTGATTAAAGTGTAACATGAAAACATAAACAGATCATTTGCTTAACATTAGGGAAGAATGAAGACTAACTGTTTTGTGCGTAAAGATTATAATTCCAGGCCTTATCATACAAGTTCCATGTTAATACAGATAATGACAGTTCTGGGAAGAAAGCTCAAATAATTAAATTATCAGAAACAACTAGAAGATTTTAAATGGGTCATCAAAATATTTCCTTGCTTACTCTTTTACGTTCTTGCAATTACAGGAGTAACATCAATCATTCATTGTCAGAGATTATCATAAAATGTGACTGAGATCACCACGAGTTTAACCTAAAAAAGTTTCAGGTAAAGTTTCCAGAAGTTAAACAACAAACCCTTTAGCCACCATACATTTGCTGAATTACAACTCCCCTCCTTCCCCACACCCTCAACCCAAAAACAAAGACAGAAGTGAAAAGAAAATTCCCCTTGTGTGCCAACACTTTCAATGTCAAACATTTACTTTTCCCACCGAAATCACCAAAAAAAGTCTTTTTCCCATCCCTTTAATGTCATAATTCTAATTTTAAGGCGAGTCAAATCATATAAACTATTTTTAGAAGGAAAACATGAGATACACAGAAGCTATTTGACAGCACTATGCCTTAACTTTCTGTCTACTATGCTACAAAACGCCAAGTTGCACTCACATGAAGAAACATAATGCCGAGCTACACAGACAATAGTACTTGAATTTCCTGACAAAGTTAATCAAAAAGTATTGAGCTAGGGTATCAATGTTGAGTTTGATTACCTTTGACTTTCGAATAGTGCTCAATGACATCATCAACAAGCCTGTTGAAACTAGGGATATGGCAATGAAGACCTTCTGAAAGACCAAAGCCTGGATAATCCATAGCAAAAACTCCAAAACCAGATAATGCTAGCTTTCTAGCTATTCCTGTAAATATTTCATGGTAAACACAAGTTGGTAATTTACAATGTAAATGTGAAAAGATACCCGTATCTTCAAGTTTTTAATATCAGATACATGCCTTCAAAGAAAAAAGTGCAAGTGTCTCCATAGCCATGACAATAGAACACTGTTGCCTTTGGCTTAGATGCCTTAGGAAGCCAACTTTTAGTAAAGATTTCTATACCCCTTGAGTTCACCTCATATGACTGTTACCAAACACACCAGGTGATCATCACATGCATCAAGAGGGGAAAAAAATCAGCCTAGCAAAAATGGACAATGCTAGGGTTTACACTGATTAAGATTACATATATACCAATCCCCCCCTTAAGAGTGCTGTAGAAACATAACCAAATTTTCATGGAACTGCTCTAATCCAGAGTCCTTACCTCCTTCGTTTTTACTTGATCACATGGAGTCTGCAACAGCCAAACATAAAGAAATCAATTCTAACTTTCTAATAAAATAAAACATGGCCAACTTCATGAGCTGTAACCCCCTTAGATATAATGACAGTTGCAGCGAAATCTTAAAACCATGGGATATTAAAAAGGACAAAACATTGGTATAGACTTTAGGTGTTTGTTATTAGGTTCTCTAACAAATACTTGGATGCTTAAACAAATTCCAGCCTTATATTTTCATTGGAAAACTTGATAGTAGACAACTAAGCAAATTTACTTTAAGTTTAATCCTTTTGGACGTCATGGGTTTTTAAATGCATGGCCAAGGGGGGAAATGTACAAACTCCACTGCACATGATTCTGCATGTGATCATGCAGAGAGCAAAACAGAGTAACAAGGCTATAAGACTAAAGTCAACAGGAAAAGAGCAAACAAGGACCCGATCATTTCAAGAAATATGAAACGTCTCAGTAATTTCCTAAATTATTCTGAATGTTGGTAGTACAACAAATCAGGACACACAAAAGACCATACAAGTACAACTCCGTCTTTGCACGTCATTGGATGGCTTCCTACCTATAGAGCAATGCTGCATGGCCACAATTTTTTTTTTTTTTTTTTTGCTATTCTTACTTTATTACGATTGATGTAGACTACTTTACAGATATATGCACATGTATATAAGATGTGGATCCTACAAAAAGAAAATTATGGTTTGGCCTACCTATTTTCACTATAAGGATCAACCCAAGAACACAACGAAATCTTCCATAAACTATTGGGCAGTTGTATGGCATTTACTCACGCATTGACTGCAACTCTCCTTTCATCTATCAACCTATATCTACAATAAATATCAATATTGAGGTCCACAAATAGTCTTTTCAGAGTTGCAATGTCAATGTCAGGTGTTCAACTAAACATCACTGAACCAATCAGTAGTATACCCAATTAGTAAAGAAATAGAATCAATACAGTTCATCATAGAAAAAAGATATCAGTATTCATACCCCAGGAAGAAAGATGAAAAATAAAGATTCAAAATAGGAAACAAATTATTGATCAATTCTAAAATATTTGGGGAAAAAAGGAAAGAAAACCAAAATCTCACCTTAAACAATATATGATCAATTCCAAGCTGAATATCCTTGAAGGCCTCACGAGCCCTTCTTCTAGAGGGAACTTGATCCATTTTAGCATCCAGAATCTTCTGCAATTCATCGTCTACTCCCGGTAGCCTCTTCCTCGGGGCCATTACTTGCTCTCTCCTCGGCTTGCTCCTTCAATAGCCTTCAACTATACAATACCATTCCAAGACTTGGGTTTAGCTTAATTAATACACCCAGAAACAGAATCGAAAGAAAGTCACATCACACACAGCCAAGAAAGGAAAAAGAAAGAAAAAGCAAGCAACTTCACCGCGTTTGGGGAATCATAATAGAAGCAATGAGAACAAATTAATGAAAGCACGAGCAAGTGGTGGCGCCCGCGCCAGTAAAGTCTTGTGGGTCCCAAGCAAGAAAGAAACGAATTTTCTTCCCCCACAGTAGATATTTACCAGGGAAGCAGCACGTAGTGTGTAAGCAGCAGCGTGTACAGTGGGAAAGAAGATAGATGATAAAGGGGCTGGTGATGACTCAGCAGCGAACAGTCATAGTCTCACACAAGAGAAGCTGCCTGCGAGAATAAGTGAGAAGCGTGTGGCTCTGTGCTTTATCTGTTTTTTTAGTGGAAATTAAATGCCCTGATTCCCACAAGTCATGCATTGCTAGCGCAGAGTAAGGCTCACAGCGTTTTCTATTGGCTCGTCTGGCTCAAATCAATTGTATCATGCTCCGGAGTCTAGTTTCTAGAACGACAGCAACAGAGGATGATGGCATGGTTGTTTCGCGGAGTGGGGTCATTTCCCCTACAAAGGTTTTTTTAATTAATATTATTCTCTTTACTATTTAAAATTGATCAAATCTTAGTGCATGTAATTTCATATCGTGGTTTTTGTGTTTTCTATAAGACTTTTAATAAGCATAGGAATCAAAATCAAAACCTATTAAAATACAAAGACCCAGATCAAAACTTATTAAAAATATAGAGACAAAAATAAAAATTCATTAATTAGTTAATATTCAAACTAATTCCTTTTAAAACCTAATCCTTTTTAAAAAGATTGTTACAATAACCAATAAGTATTGGTCTAAATAGAAAGAACTTGAGTACTTTAAACATCATATCCCGATTCGCTTGGTGTGTATGGGGAAAAAATTATTGGGAGGGATTCCTACCATGCTGCCTAACAATACTCTAAGAGGTTAGTATCTTACCATTCGGGTAGAAGAATATTTTGGACAACCAAAAAAAAAGTTATTACAATAAATTCTTTAAAAAAAATTTCGAATGAATTTATTTGGGTTTAAAACTTTTAATTAGGAAAAATCCCAAAAACACATCACTATGAAATTTCAAAATTCCAACTCAACATTGTTTACTATACCTTAATACTCCTCCGGTCCTTATTATAAGACCCAATTTGACTTTTTATTTGGTCCTAATTATAAGACCCAATCCATTTTGTCTCTTATATTTATGCATTTTTTCCAAGATAATCCTTCTAATAATGATAGTTTTAGCCAATATACTTAATTAGCAAGGATATTTTAGGAATGACAACACTTATTTATTATAAATAACCAACTTAACTTACTTCTTTAATCTCCTCAAATAAGTCAATTGGGTCTTATAATTAGGACCGGAGGAGTAGCAATTGATAATATTTGAAAAACAAATGACAACACATTTTGTAATTATTTCTAATTTGAAATTTTAAAATTTTAAAGATATTTTTTTGAGATTTTCCTTTTTAATTATTCCTTATATAATAGTTATGATATTTAAATATATCAACTTTCAAAAAGTTTAAAATAAATTAAATTTGTTATCGTTAATATGAAAATTTTGCATATATTTTAGGCCTAAAGAAAAGCACAATATAATTTGAGCACTTCTTAAAAAGAAAGATTATAGCCTATGTTTGGTAGGAAGAAATTGGAGACAAGAGGATAGGAAGAAAAATTTTAATAAGCTTGATTTAAAAAATTAGAAAAGTAAGGTTATAAAATTTTAATAAAAAAAGATATAAGATAAAAAGTAAAAAAATTTATTAAAAGCTTTAAACCCTATTTTTTTTATTTTTCAAATCAACCTATTAAAATTTTTTCTCTCCTCCCCTCTGCTCTATTTCCTTTCGTGCCAAACTACCCTAAAACTAAGACTGCCTTGTTATTGGAGATGCATATTTGGAAGTAGCATCTTGCTCACTGCTCAATTCGGTCTCCACGATTGTTTTTCTTTGAAATTACAACCTGTATTCATAATTTCATATGGAAGATTTGAAAGCATCGCAATGCTTGAGCCCTTCCTTCCGTAAGAAATTTTGAAATGGGCATGACGCCATTATATTTAATTAATAACTAAATTTTTAAATAATTTTTTTTTATACAAATGAAAAAAAGCAACACACCTAAACAAAAAGAAGAAATTAATCTAAAAGAGGGATCTCCCAAACTATCTTTCAAGCAAAATTTCCTAAAATGCACCGCGCTGTAATATAGATTAGAAGAAGTGGATAGCTCCTCTTTAACTAAAACATCAGCGGCATGGTTTAATTTTTTCAGAAATATGCTGAAATTTCAGATCCTAAGAGAAGCACATTAATCTCCGTATGTCCATAAAAATAAGAGTGCAAGATTCTTCGGTCTTGTTTTTCAGTAGCATGTCTATTAGAGTCTTGGAATCATTTCTAAAATGACCCTCCTGAATCCATAATCCCAAGCTAACTTGAGGCTTCTGAACACAGCCCATTCTTCAGCTTCAAACACATTACATTAACCAACCTTTTGAGTGAATCCCACAATCCATTGTCCCATTTGGTTTCTAATTAATCCACCACAACCTGCTACACATCGTGAAGCTGAAACAGCACCATCTACATTTACTTTAACCCATTGATTCGGTGGAGGTTGCCAAGAGGTAACTTTTAAAATAGAATCATTTGGTTTAAGAAGAACAGGGTCATTCATGCATACAAAAGACTTCCAACAGCTCGGAACAGTAAAGACAGGATCAATAGATTTATTATAATCAACTTCAAAGCAAAACTTATTCCTCCAATTCCAAAGAAGCCAAACTGATACACCCTAAAGTAGGTTCCAGCCAGAGTCCATTTTAACAGCTAACTCAGTTGACAGATTTTGAGCTATGCAATCACGTAGAGTAGCTGAAAAAAAACACAGACAAATACCTGGGTTTGACAAGAGTGCACCGCATCCTTTTTGCATATGAACAATCACGTAAAATGTGCAAAGCATTTTCCACTCCTCTGTCGCAGTAAGAACAATTAGCAGAAGTAGAAGACCATGAATTCCAAGCATTGGTAGGTAATTTACTGTAAAAGGCAATCCATAAGAAGACCCTAATTCTTTCTGCACCTTTCCAACTCCAAATAGATTTATAGACAGAGGTGAAATTATTAGAGGGCTTATAATCAACTAAATCATGAGCACTTTTTATGGTGAAAGTACCATGAGCAATCGCTTTTCAAGTCATAACATCATTCCCAGTTGCTGCAAAAGGAGGTAGAATGGCTATAAGCCGCTATACAACTTGGGAGTTCACTGTATTTGCAAGTCTATTATAACCCCAGGTGCCATTTAGCACCCATTCAGCCACTGTGCTTCTTTCCTCCTCTATAGTAAGAGGTGTCACACACATATCTCCAATTTTTGTATCTTGGAACAACCAGTAGTCATTGAAGAAGCTCACTATCTCACCACTCCTAACTTGCCACCTTGTACCCTTTTCAATAAGGTCTTTTTGTTGACAAATGAAATGCCAAGGCTTAGATTCACCTTTCTGTACATTAAACAAATTCTCTTCCCCTCTTACCATATATTTATGGTGCGGAAAAATAAACCATATACCTTTGGTTCCCATCAAAAGGTTCCAAGCCAACTTAGCTCTGAAACCAAAGTTCATCAAATTTAGTTCTTAATTCCTAATCCTCCAAAGTTCTTAGGCACAGTGACAAAGTCCCAATTAATCGGATGAAATCCATGACTACTTTGCATCGTTCCCCAAATAAAATTGCGTTGCAATTTCCCCACTTCATGAAAAAATTTTTGAAGGCAACTTTGTCACCTGCATGGGTATAAAAGAATGGTACTGATTACTGATTTAACTGGAGTGATTCTTCCAGCAGTTGAGAGGCAATTGGCTTTCCAGGATGACGGCTTAGATCAAACTCTATCAATAATGTACTGAAAAGTCTCAGTTGAACACCTTTTTCTAGTAAGGGGAAATCCCAAGTATCTACCAATTTCATCAGTAATTTTCATACGTGTAACTTCCCTGATTTTTGCTTTCAAATGAGAAGGAACTTTGGGAGAGGAAAACATGGAAGATTTTTCTTCGCTTACTTTTTCTCCTGAGGCTTCACAAAAAAGATCTGAGCATTCCATCATACACTTAGCTTCCATCTCAAAAGGCCTCTCTAAAAGAAGAAGGTCGTCTGCAAATAAAAATGAGACACCACAGGGCCTTTCCTAAACACCCGGATCGGTTTCCATCTACCATCATTAACTGCATTAGTGATAATATGTGACATAAATTGTTTACCAAAAAAGTTCTACTTTCATCGGTGTCATTGAAAATTTGACGTTTTTAATAGGAATGTCAAATTCCTAGCACAAACTCCCTCCTATATCCAACTTTAGGATCAAGTCTGTCATCCAAAAAAGAAAGTAGAAAAGGCCCAAAAAAAAAAACTTTCAATACCAAGTATTGTATTGAAAACTGAATCGAACTAACCAGGTTTAACTAGAAATCAGTGAATCGATTACCTAGCTGGTCTGGTCGACCCCTATAAGCTGGGAAAAAATCAACCCAGAGTAACTCAAACCAAGCTGGGAGTAACCCAATTAACCCGACCAATTAGTAGGTAAACCCAGTTGCCTCTTTCTTTCTTTTGAAAAAAAAGCTATTTACATGAAATTTCTTTCTTTTCCTAAGTAGTTGATAATTATTACTTGACCATTAAGAATTGTAGGAAGGAATATTTGGTTATTATATATCTATTTTGATATTTTGCTTGAATCAATACTTATTGATTTTAGTAATATAATATTACAATTTCAATTTGTCAAAAATATTGCATAAAAGGTTAAAAATTATAAGTATATGATTATTGTATTAGTAATTCAATGTACCTAAATTGATATTTAATCATTGGATGGTATGATGAAAATTTAAATTATTTTAACTTTTTATTTCCTCTGGGTTAACTTTAACTTAACCCATTAACCCTTGACTAGTTCAGTTTTCAGTACCTTGATACCAAGTATAAAACATAAGCTTCAAGTTACCTCTTGCTAATATCGTTGCTATCCTCCTTCGTTACTTTTGTGATTTTTTGTTTTTGGTATAAATCAATATTTGCAAATCACTTTGGATTTGAAACAAATCTCTATCGGACTAGAATTGCTAAGGTCAAAATACTCCCAACAAGTACGCTTCCTGAGAACTTTTGTGATAGTTTATTCGAATGGCTTAATTTGTCCGTTTCATTGGAGTGCTATTATCAACATCACAATGGTATTACAAAAGTTATACCTAATTACAGTGCAAGCCGAGCAAGAAAGCAGTATTCACAGATACCATATTTACAATGCCGCGATGGAGAGATGAAAGGTGAGGCAAAGCCGGTGCCATTAGCAGGACTCTCCTTGGACCTAGTTTGATTACCAACTAATTCCGTCTTCGACCAGACTTTCTGTTCTTTTTCGTCTTGCCTGAAGAAGACTGCTGATATGCCACTGGTAAGAGCGTTCCCTCCTTAACCCCATTTGAATCCTCCATCTTATCAATTGTTTTTTGAGCTTCTATGTAGACGTTGAGATCCCTAATCTGTTTGTATCATTTCTAGACCATCATTGAACAATTTTGAAAGTTTCTCTACTGACAAAGATTAAAGGTGGTTCACGGCATTACCTGTTCTTCCAGATCACGGATTTTCTCATCCCTCAACTTCATTGCCATGGCTTCCCTGAAGAGCAGATTCAGATAGTTTAATTCATTGAAAATATTGCAGCTGCTAGGCACAGTATCAAGAAGAAAAACAACTGCAATCATGCAACGTTTGTATAGCACTTAACCCTGCATAGGTAAAAAAGACTACATTTTCTTGCAACCCTATCACAAAACCTTGAGAAGGGTTGAGAAATGAAATTTGACAAGCCATGTCGCCTCTGTTGAAAACTTAAACTAAGCACCTAATTCTCCTCTAAAAATCTTAGGAGCAGAACAAGAATGCATATACCTCTCCGCAACTTCTTTAACCTTGTTTCGCCACATCTCTTGACTTTTAATGAGATTCCTATTGACCTGAAAGACAACGGAATGACTCCGTCATGATGACATAATTCCGGCATTTAAGAAAAAAGTATTACCGAGTGCAAGAGAAAACGGATGTATTTACATCAGCAACCGCATTTTTCTCTTCTGAACACTTTTCCAGGTCATATTGCATGTCCTGCATTCTAGAAGCCACAGCTTTGTCCACTGCTTCAGATATTGAACTTTCCACTTTGCTCTTAGCCTCAACTAGCAAGGATTCATAATACTAGAAACAAAAGAAGAATCAGAGGCCTAGGTTAGATTCTGATTAGACTGCAAATCCTCATGTGTAAAAGCAACCTTCCATTTTTATTTTTATTTTTTTTTGGGCCACCTAAAAGCAAACCTTTTCTATGTCCCTAATTCCAACCATACTGAAGTTTAAGATCCAAATAGTCTGAAATTGTGAACCTCAGAAGCAAGCATTCCCATTTGACCATCTATACAATTATTCCATTCTCACAGAGACAGCAGAGAGTTAACTCACTTGTCTTTGAGTCTTCAACTGAGTTGCTAGCAGATGGTTATATTCATCCACAATCTGCACTCAAGTTTTTCAGCTAATCAGTGACCCTAAATGGGAGTCAGAAACAAAGTGATAAATTTAGTGTGAAATGCTAACTGCAATGGTAAAAGCAAGACAGATAAAAACTGTTGAATAATCAACAAGCAAATGAGTTGGCCACGGGAAATGATGTTGAGCATCACTTCAATACGCAGAATAAGATAACAAGCAACGGAGGAGAAACATACTGCTTCAACTTTGCTGCTAAATAGGGCTCCATCAATTCCTAAATCTTCATTGTATTCACATATACCACAATCTCCTTCCTGTGAACTACAATGAGAATTCATCTCCCCCAACTTGCCATCAAATTTAGACTGGTTCTGGTTCAATCGATGAACGTAATTGTCACCTACGTAATCCCAAATTTGTTGCGTTCTTAAATCAAGAGAATAGCAATGCTGCGTGTCTTTCCAATGACGTATAGCATGTCTTTCTTTATATCTAAGGAAAAAAGAATGATGGGGTAAAATCCTCCTAAAAGAGGCAGTAAGAAAAATACACATTATGTAACAAAAGGGAATGGATGGAGCTTTTGTATCATTAAAAGATAGAGACCTTATAGACAAGTTATAAGAGCAGATTGAAGAAAATAATAATATATTACCTTCCACATCCAACAAATCCACATATGATGCAAACCCAAAGATTTTCTCCCGTTCCACAGACAAAACAGTTTGGTTTCTCATCTTGCTGTTGACAAAATCGGCAGACCTAAAATATAAACATTATAAGTTATTTACAACAGCATTATCCATCGATATAATCATCCCCACAAATATCAAAACCCAAGTACTACCATGTATAGTGTATGTCTACTTTCCAGAGCATATAACTAGCATTTATTCTACTTCACACCAACATAATCCCCCAAAATGAAGCAAGTTAGTAAAATTTAAATTAAATACAAGTTTAACTGTCCAAGAATTCGTGTAAGAACAATAGTCAATGAAAAGCAACTTTTTATCAAGCATTTTATTGCTGCTTTCACCTCTCCACATTGAGTAAGAAGAATGTGAATTTTTGTGTTATCAGCTACCAATATCACCTCCCAGATACCCATGGCTAAGCACAAAGGTTAGACACTCGTATAAAATAATTTGTTAGGACGAGGAAATTAACTCAACCATAAAAAATTTAGTGCGGAATAGAATGTGCAAGCAGAGTTGAAGGAGTGAAGGATCTGGTCACCTGGCAGGACAAATAAGTCCATTTAGAAACACAAGGGCATTGAAATGAGTGATCACACAACGTGCTGAGTATTCCACTTGTTTCAGGGTCTAGTCTCTCTGGCATTCAAACAATTCAATCAATACAGATACCATAAATATCTTTTCACGTGATTACCATCATTCTAGGCAGAGTTACAATCCAGGAAAATGGAACGCACCAAGGCAAACTGGGCAAGTTGGTATTTCAGTACAGCCTCCAGGAGGAGTTCGAGCAACTTCTGCAGATTCTGTATACTCCACAGAATGCAAAAACAGAACGTGACATAGCTCAGCCTGAATTTTGGCAAGCGATTGGAGTAAAGGAAAACAGAAAATTAGGCAAGACAGTGATTTGAGAAGCTGCTGAGAAAATGCATATTAGGAACTAAATTTATGCGAACTTTGAATTCATTACCTCGCCAGGAGAAAACCTCTTCCCATTAAAATTACTATAAAATCCATCAGCTGTACGCTGATCAACAAGTCTAATCAACACACTATACCGATCTTCCATCCCATCGTTCCTGTTTTTAATTAAAAGGCGAGGAAATCAGATGGCTTCAAATGGCAAGATTTTATATCAAAATGAAACTCAAAAGCATGAATAAGATTGATATGCACACACATATCATGTCCTATTGATCTCAGCAAACACAAACATTCGGTTGTATCTCCCACTTGAACTTCATTAACACCATTATAGTTTTTGGCCACTGATGTCCTATTGAACTGAACGCGTAATTTTTTATTTAAAAAAACCAAAAGGATAAAAAAGGTACCTGATGAAGAGAAGCTCGGACACATGGTCGATGTGGGATTCACAAAACCGAATCAAGTCTTCGTAGGACAGGTAGTTGGGTACGGCAACTATAAAAACGAGAGAGGAGCGAGAAGTAGGATTCGGAAGCGACGAGTGCGATATGCTTCTGAACAAATGCAGTACGCCTCTGCGTTCGCTGAATTTAGGACAAGGGCTTGAATCTCTGTTGGATTGGACAGTTGAGAAGGTGATTTGGGAGGAGAGAGGGTGGTCGGAATCCACTGAGTGAACTTGGAGGAAGAACATCGTGGCTGAGTCGAATCACCGCTCGCAAAGCCGGCGATGAGGAGGAGGAACACGGAGGGGAACCGGGGAAATGAGCACCGAGGCCGAGATGTTGGGCCGGCATACATTTACTTTCTCTTTCTTTCTTTTTTCCTGCCAGATACAGTAGGTACATGTAAAAAAAATTAAGTTACTTGTTTATAATAAATAAGTGTTATGTTTTTTAAAATATCTTTACAAATTAAATGTATTGGTTAGAGTTATCATTATTAAAAAAATTATTTTTGAAAAAAAGTACAAAAATATAAAAAACAAAGTGAATTGAGATTTTATATTTAAAACTAAAATAAAAGTCAAACGATGTCTTATATTAAGGACAGAAAGTAGTCTTAAATATAAAACTTCAATCTACTCTGTCTTTCATATTTATTTATTTATTTTAAAGTAGTTCTTATAGTAGTTGCACATATTAAATGTTTCATCAAATAATAATTCTAGCTAGTGTACATGATTAGTAAGGGTACTATAAGAAAGACAACACATATTTATAACAAATAACTAACTTAACTAATTTTCTTAATCTCTCCAAATTAATTAATTAGGTTTTATATTAAGAACCAGAAGTAACTTTTTTTTTAACCAACCTCAACTCCACTTGTCATAAATTTATAATTTTTTAAAAAGATTTTTATCAATTATAAAAAATTTTAAATTAACGGCACATATTTAATATAAATAACTAATTTAACTAATTTTTTAAATATTTTTAAACTATTTAATTCTTATACTACAAATTTGAAGTAATAATAATATTCTCACATATTATTATTGCATCAAAAAATGTTACATCTTATCACAAAAATCACATGTTTTATTTTATAAATTTTATATAATGCATGAGAGAATATATGTAAATTAAATTAAACTAGTAATATTTAACTTGGAAACTAATTACTACTTGAAAGCAAAAGGATCAAAAGTAACCCAAAAAAAAAAAATACAGTCATCTATGTATAATATCAATATCAATATTACTATAATATCAATATATTAATATGAAGGAATTGATGGACATTCCCCAATAGAGATGAAGGAATTGGAAACAAATTACCTAGCTCTATATTTCAATTTGAGGTAGGGATTAGAAATTTTAGGGTTCAAAGCCAAATTATTAATTTTAAGTAAGGTTGATATGAATTTAAATTAATAAAATCCATTTCAAACTTGATGAAATATTAACGTCTTTGGGTATTTTAGAGGTAAGAGAACTTTTGAGGAAGAACGTCTTCTGGAAAATTGGTTGGAAGGGCAATATTAATGTCTTTGGGCAAAAATGGTTGGCATAGGATCCGAGCTATCAACTTTCTGCAAGTCCAACTACTAACATTGGAAAGTCTTTAAAGGTGGGTGATTCAATCTCAAGTGATGCTTGGGATTTAAGCCAGATTGAGTATAAGCTTACTGAAGCAGCAAAGAACAAGATCAAGAAGATGAGGATTCCTACACTTAATGAGAATGATGCGCCTATCTGGCTGTTATGCAAGAATGGTGTCTATACCATTAAGTCAGGTTACCATTTTGAAATACAAGAAGAAGAACAAGAAGCTTTGGTGCGGCCTAATAGCTCCTATATTGTACCTGCTAAGCTTTGGAATTGTGTTTGGAGTTTGAATGTTCCACCAAAGATCAAACACTTCATTTGGAGGTTATTGAATGGGGTAGTTGCAACTAAGGAGGCATTATGCATAAGGAAATGTGCTACTAATATGAGTTGTCCCATCTCTCAAGCTAAAATTGAAAATATTTTGCATCTGATTCTTTTATGTCCTTGGACTAACAGGTGTTGGTTTGGATGTTCATTATCTTTAACTATTAATAACAACCAAATAGTTTGTATCAAGAGGTGGCTAGAGAAAATGCTTCTTCACTGTAAAGACGTTGATGATAAAGGTAAATCCCTTATTGCGGCACTTTGCTGGGGCATTTGGAAGGCTAGGTGTGATTTTATTTTCAAAGGAATTCAGGTAGATCCAGTGAAAATTGTCTCCTCAGCTTCACTACTTGCAAATGAAGTATGGTCTGCTAAAAAGACTGATTTTGTGCAAAGGCAGAGATGTAGTAGTCAGAGCATAGTAAGGGAATTAGTGTGGAAGGCACCTTCTACTGGATCATTAAAAATAAACTTTGATGGTACATTCAACACAAACTCCACGTCTGCTGGTGTTGGGATTATTTGTAGAGACCATACTAGCTACCCTCTTGGTTGTGAGAGTAAGAAAGTTGCTGCAATCTCCCCCTTCAAATCTAAATGTCTTGATTGTAAAGATGCAATAATTTTTAGTGATCATTTCAGTTGTGAGAAGATCAGTTTGGAGACTGATTGTCTAGAATTATATAGGGCTGCTAGGAATGGTTCATCTTGTAATATAGAATGGCAGTGTACTGATATTTTTACTGACATTCTTGAACTTTTGAAGGCTAAGTCTCATGTTCAACTCACTGTGGTTTCAAGGAGTGGAAATAATGCCGTAGACTACTTAGCAGCTCGTGCAAAGAATGGGGTGCTTTCCAATGGAATGATTGTTACAGCCCCATCTCATTTTCAACATATTTTAGAGAAGGATGCTCTTAATGTTGTAGAACGGCAGGCTTATGTATTTGATTTTAGTAGCAATTAATTTTTTATATTTATTAATCAAAATATTTAATATATAATTAAAATATATAATTAAAAATATATAATTATTTTTAATACCTTGCTCCTAGTTTACAATTGCCGAATAGAGAACAACCAACAATTTATTTTAGTTTATTATGCTTGCAACTTGGGAGGAAGAAAATAAAGAAATTCACCACTCATCACTGACTTTGACCTCTTCTCCGTCAAGCAGCCTAGTTAGTTGCAGAAGAAATTCATAAACGTATAGTTGAGGGAATTCAAAGCGAAATGCCGCACATTTTCCCTTTGAGACGTGATTGACGGATGTATAGTTTAGTCTTTGCCATTAATTGAAGTGGGACCTGCCAAACTCTATTCGCTATATATATAAATGCTGCCTTGAAGTGCACAAAATATACCATAAATAACTTTCTAAGGAATACGAAAGTTAAGCAAAATCATGTCTCCCATAGTACTGCTTCTTCTAATACTATCGTCCATTGCGCTGCAATTTACAGGTCTGTTCTCTCTCTCTCCTCTCTTCATTTATTGCTCTCTCTCTATCTATATATTGATGCATATGTTCTAACAACTTCTATTCAAGTATTTCCTAAAATCTATTTTTTGGACCTTTACTCTGATGTACCAAAACAACATTTCTTTCTGTCACGGCACTATAATTAATCATCATTCTGTCCTAACTTATAGAAAGGTCATTATTAGACCTGGCTAAACATTTCTCTTACAGAACTATCAAACGTTCAAAAGCGATTGAGGCAGTCATTAAAAGTATATATAACAGATGGGATATTGACGTTCTCATTGATTCCCCCCCCCCCTCAGTCATATTCGATACATCACATATGTAGAGAGTATGAAAATTTGAATAGAAAATCTATATTCAAAAAAAAAAAAATTTTCAACTCTTATGACCCTTCACAATTTGAGAATTACCAGCTTAATATGTTCTATATATTATATGCAGCTGTGAAATCCATTGGAGTGTGTTATGGCGTAAATGGAGATCATCTACCAAGCCGGCAAGAAGTGATAGACTTATACAAATCCTATGGCATTGGAGGGATGCGCATATACTTTCCAGATGAACAAGCCCTTCAAGCCCTAAGAGGTTCAAACATTGAAGTGTTGCTTGATGTGGCTAAGGAAACGCTTTCCTCACTATCTGATCCTGCATCAGCCAATGATTGGGTTAGAAAATTTGTAGTATCCTACTCAGATGTGAACATCACGTACATTGCTGTAGGAAATGAGATTGGTCCTAGTGACGTAGAAGCACAGTATATTCTACCTGGAATCCAAAACATTCAGAATGCAATTTCTGCAGCAAATTTGCAAGGCAAAGTTAAGGTCTCTACAGCAATAAAAATGGATCTACTTGAGAACACTTCCCCACCCAATAATGGCAAGTTTAAGGATTCTGCGACTCCATACATAAAGCCCATCATCGCTTTCCTTGTCAACAATGGATCACCACTTCTCGCTAATGTGTATCCCTATTTTGCCTACAGTGACGCAAATAGCAACATTCCTCTTGACTATGCCTTGTTCAGACAACGAGGAACAAATGACCAAGTTTATCAAAACCTGTTTGATGCAATGTTGGATTCTCTCTATTTTGCTCTTGAGAAGATAGGAGCACAAAATTTGCAGGTTGTTGTGTCTGAAAGTGGGTGCACTACAAGAAATTGTAAAAGTAGCAGCGGAACCTTTCTAGCGGTTAAAGAAAACCGCTAGAAATTTCAGATATTTCTAGCGGTTCCTACAAAAACCGCTGCAAAATACAGACGGTTTGACCATTAAACGCACATTTCTAGCGGTTACCCCCTAACCGCTAGAAAATTAGAGCTAGAAAACTCCCCGAGCTTTGGCGGGAACTTGGCGCCAAATTTGTAGCGTTTACTTTCTAGCGGTTCAGGCTAATAAACCGCTAGACACTGAAAAATTCTAGCGGTTGATGCATGAAGCGCTAGAAATTTTTTTCATTCCCCGAGGAGTTTAGAAATTTCTAGCGGTTCACGGCCGAACCGCTAGAGATTTCTAGCGGTTCGGCCGCGAACCGCTAGAAAGTCTGGCGGTTCACGGCCGAACCGCCAGACTTTCTAGCGGTTCGCGGCCGAACCGCTAGAAATCTCTAGCGGTTCGGCCGTGAACCGCTAGAAATTCCCAACGGTCATATGACCGTTGGGAATTTCTAGCGGTTAGGCACAAAACCGCTAGAAATTTCTAGCGGTTTTGTGCCTAACCGCTAGAAAGTTTCGGTCTATATATACCCCCCCCACACTCTCACTTCTTCAATCGTTCTGGAAGCGAAGCTCTGCTGAATTTTCTTCACAAACATATTTGAGTTCTGATTCAGTTGCAGATCCTTATTTTCAGGTAAAAATAGTAATTTATTGATAAATAATTTTTATTTTATGTTTTATTTTATTAATTTTAT